ATAAAATAGCGCACTTCCCAGTACATGAAGAGAATGTGTTAATAATGAATGTATCAGATGCAAATGTAATTCAGCTCTCTACTTGATAACAGATACTCTCTAAATATTTAATTCGCTCACATTTGGGCTTCTAACAGGATGCCTGGTACACGCTGGACAGTAGAAACCCAGTGCACAGTAGAAACAACCCCCATGGCTTCCTAGACTCCTGCAAATTACCATTTATGACCGTACTTCTGCCAGCCCTTGTAGGAAGGTGACAGCGCCGTTCTTGGTTTATTTTAAATAAGTTATGTGGCAGAACTGTGAATACTGATGATTCCCTCCTGTTTATTTGATTGATATGTGAAGACTTTTCCCAGGCCAATTAGCAAACCTCTTCAACCGGAACCAGGTCAGTGCCAAAGAATACTTATATGGGATGGTACAGTCATAAGCCTAAAACTACAGAGTATGTTTGCATTTTAATTATTCAACACTCACTTCTAATTCATATAGGCACAATTAATACTGATGCGATTAAACACTGGTGTGCTTTGACTATTCAAATCAAAAGACATATTAGGTTCTTACTGTGTTTGAAAGGTGTTGAATGGCTCTGCTTACACTTGTACCTGGACATTCATCAGAAGCTCAGCCTAGCCGCACTTACGCCTTATCAGCTCCTCGACATCTGTGTGCTTGGAATGTTCTACCTGCCTCACTTGTCGGTTTCTTCAGACAAAAGTGCCTGCTAAATAAAGTAAATGCAAATGCAAATACTGGTCTACAGCCTGTCCACACCATTTAATTTCCATGTATTTGTATTAATCAAGTTATTATTCAGGCGAAAACTTGTGCTGGCCTGATCATATGGAGGTTTTACATACAATGAAGGACATTTGGCAGATAAGCTTTAATGAACGTTGACCTGGTATACAGTGCAGCTATTTTTGTAGGGGTTGTGTTCTGGGTCATTGAAATGGTTTAAAAATGCAGTTACACTGGAAGAAAAGATAAAGAAAAAACACAATGGTGTAAAAGGTCCCTAGCATGCCATCTCTCATGTTCACGATAGGCTGTCAGGTAATAATACTACTTATAATTATGCTATTACTGGCCAGTGTTTATTTTGAATGCTGTATAAATGAAATGCAATTGGATGATAAGAGTAACTACCAAAATGTATACACATGTATGCGTACATACATACATATGTTGATAAAAAAATAAACAGCGTTAACCTGACAACCTAAATGGCCACAAAAAATCCAATAAAAATTAAATGTGCCTTTCAAACCAGCACTGATTTGTGGATGAAGTATTTATCTTTATTATAATTTACATGTTAAGCAACTGGCAGCACTTATACAAATCTTTTATTTTTACATTCATATCTTTTATATGTTCACATGACTGACTGGTTTCTTGCTAAGTGCTATGTGAAGACTGTAGGGAAAAAGAAATAAGCCATAATGTCCAATAAACCAAGCAAAATTATCCAATTTCACTAGGATAATTATATGTAAGTTGCATGTTTATAAAATTATATAATGTATAGGTAGCCTGTTTAATCTGACAGACAATTAAAATATATATATATATTTGTGTGTGTGTGTGTGTGCGCATGTGTGTGCGTCATGGACCTGATGTTCTGCACATTGCTTAACTGTATTAATACAGAATGACTTTCATACAATGTCAGTATACATAATTTGGTTTGTTAAATTTCAGCTGATCTTTTTAATATACTGTTATCCAAACTAATTTATACACTTTACCTAAGTTACCAGCCTAAATCAAAATTTCAGTAATACATATCTGAAAATATACTTGTGCATTCTAGATTTTAATTAAATTTGTATTCCACATAAACTGTAAACAAAAACAAACAGGGTGCCAGATTGAATCGTGTCCTTTGACCAGGAGTAAATCTATATTTCTTGCATAAGTCACCTGGTTGTATTTGTGTCATCAGCAAAACAAACGCGTGTGTTGCCGTGAGGGAACACATCGCTCAAGTTGTGTATAAAGACTCCGACCTTCTGCAGGAACCACTCAATCTCTCACAGACAGCCCTAAGAGTCTCCAGCTCCTTCATCTTCCCAGCTCAAAAGTGCAATATATAATGCCGAACTGGTAGAACCGCACTGGCTAATGCCCTTCACCTGAGAATAAATAAGTGAAACACGGAGCCAAGTGTCTCTGTCCCCCCTCCCCCAAACTTGTGAGTGCATTCTGGGAATGCCTGTGCTTTTCCCAGACCACAAATGTCAGTGCCTCTTGCCAGTTATGGAATGAGAGCGGCTGAGGGATCGGCATCTGTTTTGCTTTGCAAAGCACATGCCACTGCATCCAGAAGCAGACTCTTCGATCAGAAAATAACCCACAGCATTCGCCGGCAACAAACTGCCCTCTATGGCAAAACAACAGCACAGTCTCTTAAAATTTCTAATTATTTTTTTAAGAAGTAGTTTGCCGTCCGTTGCAGCACGATTTTTCTTCAGCATAACCAACCATGTGCCCAAAATGGATCAACAGCAACAAAGGCAACACATCATCTAACTTAAGCGCACTGTCCCTAGGAATTACAGTTCCATTTAGTTCACCTCAACGAAATCTAAAAATGCTACACCAATAAAAGTACAACCATTTAGCCAGACTGAATACTTTTCCCAGTGATGGGAACAGTATGGATCATATCTAAAGTTAATTTTCCATAGTATTTTAAGACTCTGCTACTAAATGTTAAAGTCAGAGTTCTAACTATATGAGTGCAATTCAAGAACAAAATCATAGTAGGAATTATGTATAGAGCAACTGTTACAAATCATTATGGTCAATACAAATTCCTTTATTCGTCGACACTATATCAGAAGGCAGTAGTCAGAAAAATTATATAGCAATAGTTTTTCACTCAAAATGGCTTCACAGCATGTCCAAAACTTATACTGGGTTTATAATACACACCAAATATCATATAATGTGTATCATCTCTGCTCATTTACGATGACACTAAACAAATCCTGACAACCAAACTTCACTCGAGTGCCCTCTATCTAGCTGGGCAGCTGCCTTTGTTCATGTGCCTGCCGAAACTATGACAGACGTGTGATGTCAGTCCCAGATCATGTGTATTCAAGTCACACACAGATGCTAACCTCACGTGACAAGGACTGAGAAGGTGACGGCTAATACGACCAATGTTCCAACAGCGGCCGCATGACAGAATTTTCAAGCACCCTGAAGATGTTTAAAAAGCAGCACAGAAAACAAGCCATTTTCAGACAGTCCAAGGACCCCGCAGGATAGGAGTGAAATTATCTGTTATTTGGTCAGAATAGATATATAAAGCACAGATGCTGTCATTAAAACGAAATAGAGCAGAGACCGAGTTGTGGTCCTGGAACGCTGACATATCAGAAAGCTTATATTACTAGTCTGCGTCTTAATTGCTTGACTGATATTAGATTGGTTTTTATGTGTATAAACACCACAGAGGTTCTGTTAATTATATTTGCTGCACGAGGAATCGAGATTATATATTGCCAAAGAAACAATACCAGAGGAAGAGTAATTTATAAAGCTTTGTATCAGAATTGAGTTTACACTGTTTCTCTAATGAGTCATTAGAGTATGTGTCAGCTTTAGGTCATACTCATTATAGAGTGGACCAGTATACTTTTTTGTTTGTTAATACAAATATATATTCCCATATGATATAACTCTATATAACGAATGCTTGCCTTAACAACAAATATGTTTGAGCACCTGAGCAAAATATTATAGGGCCTGCATATGTCTTATATTTGACATTAGGGATTTAAAACCCAGTTCTTAATCCTCTCCAGGTCATTAGTAATAAACTGAAGGCTGTGGTGAAAAACAAACAAAGTCCCCACAATTTATTTTCAATTCAATTTTCTCCTGACTAGAACAACTTAAAGTACAAATTAGATTAATTAAATGACATGGTGAAATTATCAATTCAATATAATTCTTATTTTGCCAGATTGATTCTATATTATGTACTGATGCATTTTATCAGAAGAGATAAAGGTGAATAAAATTGCAAAGCAAAATTGAAGTTAACAAGATTATCTCTACATGTTTCATGGTTTGTTCGGTGCTTCACAGATGATTTCAGGCTCGTAATGTCTGCAAAATGGAGGCCATTAATGCCAGTGTTTTCTCCCCCCACTTGTCCACACTGACTGCTGTTTTCTCTGTCTGCTCAACCCAGGAGAGACTAATAAGAAATCAATATCTATCAGTCAGTTAGACATCCAGCGGCACACAACAACCCGCAATGGTTCTGTACTGCACAGATGGGAATTGCCTGCACACCAAAAGAAACAGCATAAGGTCACTTGAACAGCGGACTTAACAATCTATATATTTCTGGCAATGCTCACGGCTTTCTACCTTTCTTGTTAATCAAGACATTTCCACAGTTAATGTTAGGCTTTCATTTGGGTATCTCCCCAAATCTTTCTTATATGTTTGGATGGCACACAATTTATTAAACATAAAGTTCTCTGACATCCATTAGAGGACAAACTGGACTATGATCTTATAGTTTAGCTATCAATTACCCATGAAGTGCCCTCTTATGTTAATGCAATAAGTTATTGTTATAATTAGCAAATAAAAAATACATATAGAATTCATAAATTCTAAATAGAACATGCTAAATAAATATTACTATGACAACATTACCAAGTTACTCCCTTAAAAGTTATAATGTTCTGAAAAAAATGGCAATTGCTGATTTTTCTTAATATGACCTCTGTGTTACATGGGCTATTAATAATTTGAAAAACATGGAGGTATCAATGCTAAACTAATTTAAACTGCCATAGCTTCTATTTGTATATTAAAATGTTAAATCGGTCCAAGTTTTGCAAAAATCATCAGCATATATATCTCATAATACTGAAGCATTTTACACATTTAAGTTCAATGAAAAAATAAGCAATTCACTAAATAACAATAAAAACCAACCAAAGCAGTTTACATACCTGGAAATGACAGAGATGGAAGACTTTCAGCCTTTTGAATAGACAGATTAAAGAATTTTGCTCGGTTGATTTTTCTCCCTGGACTTGGAAATATAACTACTAAACAACAGCCCTTTAGTCACTAAATACTTATTATGCCCAGATAGTATTCAGTTGCTTATAGTTTCAAAAAAAATAAACAAAAACATTAATTCAGGGCTAAAACTACCACAATTAAACCTACAATAATATTACATTTCATTTACTTAATAAAAAATAAGATCCTTAGATTGAATCAAAGTTTATAGTTTAAAATCCATTTATAAGATATTGAAATCCAAAATACAACTGACAGGTTTAGGAACCTTAATTATTCTTCCTTTTTGTTAAGAAGAACAATAGGAAACCGAGGTAATATTGTAAAATGACATAAACCGGCAAATTCTACATTGCATTTGCATCAGTGCTGCTGTTTTTTTGAGTAGAGAGACTTCAAGGTGCAGTTCACAACCTTCTCGCTCGAATGTCACAAACAACCCTGTCCACAGGGCTTCAGGAGTATAAGAGGATACGCTCTCTACCTATAGACACACAGCTCGGTGCTAATTATCCCACTAAGAACCAAAGAAGCTATTACAAGTAGGGTCCCTTTGACAAAAAATGAGGAATTTAATGAATAAATACAGCAAGTGTATTAAAAACAGGTTAGTGATGACTAAAGCACAAAGAGGTAGCTTGGTGAGCTAGTAGCACAATAGAAAAGGTACAATGAAAGGAGAGGCACAATGGAATTTTGAATTGATTGTGAGGCAATGAACAGATGCCTTTGCTTACGTTTTTTGCTTACTTATCAAGCTGTATTTCACAGCGATACATTTTTTTTTTTTTAAATCCTAAGATTTAAAATCACTGCACCTTCAAGTGCCTCAGCACAATTATCACAGAGATGACTGCAGAGATCAGCTCATTCAGGCCTTATGATGGTGAAAGTGAGGAAATAGTCTATCTTTGTCACAGCAGGGGGGGCGGGGGGGGGGGGGGGTAAGACAATAAATGGAAATCAGCAAGAAGCACACTGAAGGTTAGGAAAAATACTATATTCTTTATTGAAAAATATTAGTATATGTGGAACTGTGTAATAATAAATTCCATGCAAAAAAAGACTGAAGGCAAGACCCACCATGCTCTGTATAGGGTTAACAGAACAAAAGTAGCATCCAATGAGCAGATGTGTATGCTACAGCACATTACAGTACAGCAGGGTACATCTTTTCTACAGAAAGATTACATTGGAATTTGCTATTCAATGTAAAACAAAAAGAATAAAACATGACCATGCATTAAACTCTAATACAAGAACAAAAGGCAGAGAACCACAAACCAAAGAATAAGACATTTTCGATTCTAAAAAAGGACTTCTATAGCAGTGCAAGAAATAAACATCCCTGTGAAATGGATAGCATTTTGTACTTGGGTAATACGTGTAAAATTTGCATAGCAGGAAGCCACGGGGAGAGAATTATCATGGGAAAATTGCTTGGGATTTGTCTAGCCATATACAATAGCTAGAAATAGTTTATTAAATTTCAAGGAAACAAAGGGTCGTACACATGAACGGGATTATGATGGGCTGTTCAACCGTTAAAGCAGGTGCAGTGTGCCATTTCGCTGAAAGGATTTCGGGGTATTTCTCGATTGCCAATTAAGCAAATAATAATTTCGAGAATAATTTCGGCCGACGCTATGCTTAAGGCGACAGCTGAAAACCTGCAATGAGGAGGCAATCTGAATTTTAGGTAAAGTGAAACGTGATGAAGTATCATCAAGTATTCGGTTTCATTCAAAATACATTCATTTTGGTACAATGCACCTTTAAAGGGAGAAAATGGAGACAAAATCCTTCAGTTCGATCAAGCCCAGCTATAATCGAAACTATAATAAGCAAAATGTATCCACTTTACAAGAATTTACAGCATAATGTAGCTAGTCTATCAAGACTGGATGGGAGGTACACAATGACATTTGTTTTAATTTCTATTGCTACAATGGGTTATTTAGTATACAGCAACTTGACAGAAAAGACAAAGGTTTTCTATAGAAGGTTATTTTTTAGTCTGTTACACAGGAGTATACTGTATGAGTGAGTTCTCTCTTTAATGCCAATGTCGTCTTCTGATGGAAAGAGGAAATGAGGAAGAGGGGATTCACAATACAGCTAAATGCAGAGTACAGGCAGAGGCCACACCACACAGCCAGCAGATGATCATTAGCTACACAATGGAGGGGGGACAAAGATCTGATAAATGCAGAATGTAGAGCCAGCCTCGATACTATGAAACAGGGAAAAGAACAGAAATATAAATCACAATGAAATCACCGATGCTACTATTTGGCTTAAAACTGCATTCTTACATAACACAGACATCGCTTTATATGAGGTAGTTCATTAATTTCCGTTAAAATGATTGTACCTAGATCGATGAGCTAGACAATAAGGCAGATCGTGCCTGTTCTGCATTCTGGGAGTAACACTACCGATAATCCTGAATGGCAATATCAATTTTTTATCTTGTGGCATCAGAAAAGGCGGCTGTGTCCACTGACAAAAGATTAAAATGTTTTTATTTTTTCTGTTATGCCTAAAGAGCTAGTACAGGACATTCTGTCTCGTTACACGTTGTATCAAGTGATAATCATATTACACACTTCTACATTATGCATAAACATTTCAAACGAGGCAAAATGTCATGCAGACAAACTGCTAGGCCTTTTGATCTCATTAATAAAGCTAGTGAACTTCAACGGACGCTTCCCTAAAACTGCATCTGGCAACATACCTGAAACATATGGGATTTGTAGCAACCTTCCTAAAAAACTACCGATAAATAGAAAACATATTGATGCTAAAAATGCTGCACTGCAAATGACCGTGAGACTGCAGATTAAATTCAAAATATCAAAACAACATACGATTAATTATGATAAACCGCGAAGCAAACTCGGGTGATTTTTACTTCACACTGGCGACCGATCGAGCTAGCCTGCTAATAGGACCTACTACCCAGTGCAAAAGTACATGTAGCCTAATAAGCTATGTCGCTAGCTCGAAAAGCAGGTATTTAAGAAGAGGCCATTTCTAATCATAGCAAATAAATGAAAAGAAACAATACCTCTATTTCTCACTGAGCCAAAAACGGGAAGGACCAGATATCCAACATGCACTAAAACCATCCTGCGATCCTTTGTTAGCGCTGCAGCCTGTAAGACAGATGGCCCATGGAAATGGTCCCGTCCAATTCCCTATACATTCAAATGTGGGGCAGAGTCTGCAGCTGCTTCGCAAACAAAGGCGCAGCCAGCCAATCGCAGATCACTCATGCAAGGGACTGGCTTCCTGCGCAGCCGCGGGCAACCAATCAGCGAGAGGATCAGCCGAAGGCTGTTAGGTCTGCTTTCCCACTTACCTTATAATAAACCAAAAAATAAAAAAAATCATGCGTGTTATTTACAAGCGTGTGACAATAGCCGATGAGGATATTTACCTACTTTAGGGTAATGAAATCGATGTTATTCTGCTTTTACTATGTGGTACTAAATGGTCTGCCTCTGATTATAAAATCAATGCCGCCTGTGAGTATTAAATGAAAATATCACATTATCTGAGGGAAGCCTCCAGTTCAGCGATTAAAAGGTGAAATACAACGTACATGATCCAGTAAGTATGTGATAAGGTGCGTGATCACTTCCACATGTGAGCACTTGAACAATGCAGATGAAAATAAATATGGGATGATTATAAAATTTAGTCAAATCTAACCAACCGGAAATATTCCAGTATGTGCTAGAAGAATTTATATCCTCGATGGATGAGACTCTCAGAATCAACCGCTAAACGTGGAACTGTAAAGTAAATGAAATAAGATGGAATGATTTCATGTAATGGCTGGGTTTAAATGAACACTAAACGAAGAACATTATTGCATACGCATTTTTCAGATCTCCGGGAGCCCTCATCTGAAAATTAAAATGCACAGATACACGTTTGGACAGAAACAATGTTTTGTTTAGACCCAGACATTTAGAAACGGATAACCAGAAATACCGTATACATGAATTAAACGGCCCAGAATTCAGTGTGAGCAGCAAATCCACGGTGTTAATACACCCCAGCAATACACAGAGGACCCAACATTACGACAGATGGGCCTGTCGGTGGTTGCTGAAGCATCAGGACGGAGCTCCGTCCCATCTGCCAATCTCCTCACTTGTTCCCATCACTCAGCCAGCGGAGCAGCATGAAAAATCAGTGCTCAAACACAATGGACTCAGGCTGCTGCTAATCAGAGCACCTTCTGCTGTCTCACGGTACCTCCCCAGTCCTCAGCTAGAGGTGCTGCACCGCGAAGTTGTACGACGTGTAACAACTTTGCAGTGTTCTCCAAAAATAAAACACTTATGTGTTGACAAATAAATAAATGATTTAGCATTTTTTGTAAATAATTGAAAGATATGGATAGGTGTTTCATGCTATGATATGAAAGGATTCTTTGGTGAGATTGGCTTTTTTGGTTAAAATACTAATTGCGATCTGTCCTAATAATTCGGTGTATAGGGAACAAAGGCTGCCCATTACTAGCATCATACAGTCGAGATGAATCATGAATATAGAGACTTAAGATGCTTATTGCTGACAGGTACCTTTTTGCGGAGGTCAACAATGAACCAATTGTTTATTTACTCATGTGCTTCATTTCCCCCCAACAATTTTCATTCTGTTTTCTGCATCAGATGGTCTGTTTATTATTACAGCAGAATAGACAAACAGCACTTTTAAATATTTTCATTTTGTTGTAGAAGCTTAGGTTTGTCATATCGTCGTCTTATTGACATTTTTTGTTGATTATTATTCATTTTTTAAAATCATTTTTAGATGGTTAATTGTATTTAAAAACATTTCAAATAGCTTGGGTAAAATATCCAGTAGGACCATTATTACCCCTTAGTGTGTTCAGAAAAAAATTGTGAAGAAAATCCATGAAATTGTAATTTGTTTGTTTTAAACAAAAAATTCTATCATCAGACCTAAAATATTATCCATCTATGATTTTAAAAGCAGTACACAGCCTTTTAATGATGTAAAAGCTCACATATATTTACAAAACATATAGTTTTGATATAGATCTAGTGAAATGGAGTAATGTGTAGAATAACTGTACATCCCCTTTTGTAGGGCTACAAGAGTGATTCCTGGTCTTAGAGGAATGTCTTTTGAGGAGAGGTTAGCTGAGCTGAATCTGTTCAGCCTCGAGCAAAGGAGACTAAGGGGGGACATGATCCAGGTATATAGGATTCTAACAGGTCTGGATGCTGTTCAGCCAAATATTTACTTGAATATTAGTTTAAATATTAGAACTTGTGGCCATAGGTGGAAATTAGTCGGGGAAGATTTTAAACTGAATTTGATAAAGCACTTCTTTACACAGCGTGTAGTTATGGAATAGTCTTCCTATTAGTGTAATGCAAGCTAAAACCTTGGGGTCCTTTAATTCAGAGCTAGATAAGATTTTAACAACTATGACCTATTAGTTGAGTTCTCCCCATACAAGCTTGATGGGCCACCTGGCCTCCTCTCCTTTGTAGATTTCTTATGTTCTTATGTTTACACTTCATCCGTCACATAGCATTATTGCCAAGCTGAGCCACAGAAAGTCAGGCCCTGATAGGATGGATGGTACAAGGATTAAAAAAGCCAAGATATAGCACTGTCTGAATAAAGACCCCACAAGCACTGAGTTTTGACCATTAGAGACACAAGGACAAAAGCAGCTGCAGTTTCAGTGTGGGCTCATAGAAATGGGAATCAGCCTGTACAGCATTTCCCAACCTATTCCTCGGGGACCCACAGACAGTCCACGCTTTTGCTCCCTCCCAGCTCCCCATAGGAGC